ATATATCTTGATATATAGTATATGTATATATATATATATATATATATATATATAATAATATAATATAAAAATATACGAATTTGTATGGATATACGAGTCGCGCATATGATTTTTTTTTTTTAATATATCATAAGTTCAGAGATATTTTTCTCTTCGAATTTTTTTCGGTCAAATCACCGAGTAAACATCCATTTCTGTCAGCGACACGCACGGAGGGTGATGTATTATTGAATTGTCGATAACATATTCGCGCGATAATTTAGAAAGATATTCGCGCATTAATTTTTTATGCGTTTTATGGGGAAAAGACGTAATTACGTCTATTGGTGCGTGAGATTATTATTATACATTTTCCTATGTAGTCTATGTGAGAGATCTAGCGTACGTTTCTCGATCGTCGATCCGTGAACAACTTTAACGTTCAGCCTGTAGATCCGCGTCGAGAGATAAAAGCGGCGAAGTTATGCGGCTCTCCCGTAGCCGCTCGCGCATACCTGGGTGTCCTTGCGGAATGAAAGTACTTGGGAAACGTGACCTCTCCCGCTCCACGTATGAGTAATGCCTAGCCTGTGCTTAGCCTAAGCGGCGTTTCGAGATTCCAACCGACTGGTCACAATCGAGCGAGGAATGCGCTTTTCTATTAGCGATCATTATCATAAAAACACAGTAACAGATAAATAACTAGGTAAGATATGCGTAGAGAAATGCCAGGAAAGTCAAAGACCCGCGAAAGAATTCACAGATCCGCGCGCTTCAAGATTCATGATCTCAGAAATGGACTTTGGATACTGTCGAGTATCATTTATATACCGCGATGGTACTACTAATTAAATATAATTAAATAAAATAATAAATAATTCCATTTCCGTTCGTTATATTTCATACGTACATATTTCTCTAATATGGGGAATATGATCGAGAGAAATTCCCGAGATTTTATCGTGAATTTATTAAATTGGTCTTGTACACGTATGTTTATTTTAACGAACATTCGTAGGATTACGTGACCATCTAATCCTCGACGTTCGGTTTTTTTTCCTTCCAGGAAGAGCGCGATAATATCGAAACGTGCGAATCGTGATCGAGCACGGGAAAGCGGGCCGGCCACGTGAGATCCGGTCTCGGGAGGACGGGAAAATATGAGCATCTCGTGAAGCCGGGAAAAACGGAGTTTTCATCATGGAGACCGAGGAACTCACCAGGCTCGTAGACGAGATCTACAAGGTAAGTAACGAATCCTTTCGACCGGAGTCCGATTGCAAATTAATCGGACGCGCTTGCTTTCAATTATTGGACAGTTATGCCCCGATTGACGGGGAAAATATAATTTCGAGACGAATTAGAAAGGATGGAAATTTCTTTCGTTGAAATGTAAGTGCTATATAGATGCCGACCTATATGACTATCGTCGAAAAGCGAAAGTATCTAATTGATGTTTTTGAAATTTTACGGTTTCATCGGAATCTCGCCTGAAATCTCCCGCGCCCTCCTCCCCGTAATCCACATTTTTAGGGTAATCCTTTGGGTAATCCTTTAGGAAATTGGCTTCGCAATCAGGCCCTCAGGGTGTCCGACATAATTATCGCGGCAGTGCCCGGTTGCGGTGGAACGACGCCTCGTTTACGATCTCCCGGAGATCGCATCGAAATAACGAGGTAACCGCCGGTTAACCCCGTTATCGCGCGGCCGGGAGTTTATGGGGTCCCGTCGCTGACAAGCGAGCCCCATGACGCGAGTATATCACGATGCGCGTAGATATGTTTCAGCGGGGTTATTCTGGCAAGTGTAGAGGGGGGGGAAGTGCCTCAGCATGGATATTAATTGGCTTCCGATCTACACGCACCCTCCTCTCCCCCCTTGCGCGTGCCATCGGTTTTCGTGCGCAGAGGGTGCGGGATGCGCGGAGGGTGTCCGCCGCTACAGAATGTCGTTCTAACCGCGCATTCCTTGGCTGATATATATATATATATATATATATAATTAATTTTGTAAAATCAATAATGGTTTAATTTCATCATACGTAACCTTCTTAGGCGTGCAACTGTTATTACATATCTGTCATAAAAGATATATAAAACGAGGGGCGAACTTCTCGTGTCAGCGAGATCTTAAATGATAAAAATAAGTTCGTTCGTTTTTATCATGTTTTCCTTCAAGGACGAATTCCTCAAACACATTTTGCAATTTTTGTAAAAATTAATATAGAAATTTGTGCATTACGCAGTTACTTAATATTAACATGCAATTATTTTTTTTCTACTTTTCTTCTATAACTTCGCGCTTTTCCCTTAGCGCGCAATCTCGCGGCAAAGTTCCAGAAGATTTAGAAACTTCGTTCACGCATCTCCGGATTTTCCTACAGGATTTCCCGCAAGTCGACCAGGTCCATATCTTGATCGTTGGATCGCGAAATTATTCGGCTTGAAAGGCGTCGAGGGACGAAATGTCTTTCACTCCATTTCCACGGCATGTTGGTTCCATATGACCCTTTCCCTTTTCTCCCTGGGTCCTAGGTAACAATTAAAAAGGAGGACACGTGTTAACGATCGGGCCACGTGGCTTAACGAGGCCGTGCTCGTTGTGCATGTTCATTAGAGCGTTCATTACGACCACTTGTCGCCCCTGAACAATCCCGGGTCCTTAACGGCCGAGATGATTAATTTTTAATATATATATATATATATCTCTTTCCCATTCTGGTTCCCCCTCCTTCATAAGGAAGAACCCGCAGTGAATTAATCTTTTTTTTTCCTGCCGGCGGAGGAAAAAATTCATTAGCATGTCGCAATATGGCGCTATTCGGCGCAATAAGAGGCGCGCGATTGCTGATATCTGCGTTTTTTCCTTCCTTTTCTCCCTTTTTTTTAATAAAGTGATTTGCGTCTCTCTTTCTCTCTTTGTGTCTGATTTATGACCGGGAAAATTTAAGGAGAAAACGAGATTGAAATGCGAAATAAGATTGACATTATAATAGTCTATCACACTTTTTTTTATAATAAATTGATATAATAATGATGTTATACAGAAAAATCATATGACTTGTTATAGGAAAAATTGTAATATATTATTATCATAATTTATATGTAGAAATTTATATGCCACTTTTTCTCACTTCTATAAATATGCATTACGTCATTGTTTTAAACTATGAATTCTTTTATAAATTATGAAAAAGATTAGGAGGCATTTACGTCAAGTGACTCCTTTATGCGGTTATGAAAATGAATCTATAATTTTCAGAAATTTATGACGCTTTGGAGTATCACGATTTATTAAGGAATGGTCGTGGTTTACCTCGAAACATGCATTAAACATTAACGTAATCGGAGAATGGGTGCGTGATTTAAATATTTCTTGCATTAATCAAAGCTAGCAACGACAAAGGTTCATCGACCGTAACGACGTTTTTACAAACGTCTTCCTCGGGTTTGATTTATTTTGGTGTCGCTATGGGTAAATCCAGATTTACGGCGAATAGACGCAATGACTTCTGATTTACGATAAATATTATGACAACGACCATTGCACATAATTCGAGACGAAGTAAACAAAAAGGGAAAGAGAGTAATGGCCGATCGATCATCGAGAGTATTGTAAATCCTCAATTGTGCGGGATTCATGTGGGGAACAAATCCGGCAATTTACTATGAAATTATTTGCGCTTTAATCATGTTTCGATCTCATCGCGAAAAAAATATCGAAATTTTATGACCGATTCGGGAAAAGAGGAAATCCGGTGCGGTCGTTCTGATCGATTTCAATATCATTATTTTAGCGTCACGTCGTGAAATTTGTCATACATTATCAATAGCGCGTTCGAATCGAACGTGGATACGTGTAATAAAAATGCAATGAAAGCTTTGAATAAAATGAGATTTTGTAATCTTTATTTAATATTTATTTATGATATGTTGCTTTATTTATTTAAAATTAAATATTGATTTCTGTTAAGTGTGCCCTTTTTATAAAAATATAAATATTTTATGTATGTAAAATCAAAAGCTCAGAAAAAAAATAAATGATATCTATCAGGCTTAGAAAAAAAAAAAAAATTGAATTGACAAAATTACTTGAAAACACAGAAAAATAAATTTATTTCTTGTAGATCTATATTTTTTGGTACATAAATTTTCTAATTATTTGACGAAATATGAAATGTTGTTTCGAGCATACATACATTTTCTAATGCTGTCATATAAGGTACTTAAAAATTTATGCAAAAATGAGAAGCATCTCCAGCTCTGGCATAGTTAATTTTTCGATCTACATTAATAAGACATCTTTTATGCAATCCGATAGAATGTCAGCCATCCTCCGAGTCGTGAATTTTTTAAAACACGCATACGCGATACGCGCCTCGATTTTTTTTCGACCCGTTGGCTCACTCGATTTATCGAAAAACTCGTGCCGAGGAGCAGAGGGCGGCGCGTCATTGGCGTAAAATATTCCGGTGGAAATCAAACAAGGGGCAGACTGCATAAACGGACTGAACTCGAGCGGTGCATCTGTCGGCGCGGACTGCGGAATATCCGGAGTTATTACATGTCCGAATTGCAAGGTAAATATTTCGCCCCGGTTGCGAAGCGAAGCGGAGCGGAGCGGAGTCGACGCCCGCGCCCGCGCTCGCGCTCGCGCTCGCGCGCTGTTTTGCATCGGACGCGAGATAAAATGCCCGCGTTGACGAAATCAGGATGTAAATATTGCAATAAAAATCGTGAAACTTCAAAACCGTGACGTGTGCCGGGGATCGATTCCCGTGAAACGTCGCGGCGTTTGGATGGCGCGCACACGCGGCGTTTCCCCGAGCCTTCGTTATCCGTCATACAAACGTCCCATTATTCGAACGCTACGCCATACCGAAACGTTAACTGTTAATTGACAATCCGTGCACGAACAATGGCCGACGTCGATAGACGATAAACAGTAAACCAGACGGTCGCGATAAACGATAATATCGTTGACAAAACGGTTGTTTTTACCGGAGATTAAAAAAAAAAAAGAGAAAAAGTTTCGCGCGATGCCGATATCTCCCTCCCGTCAAACTTATACTTGAGAAAGGTTGAAGCCATAAAGGAAGGTCAAGTTTGTCAGACGAATTAAAATTCGACACGACGGCAGATAGCAGCGTACCGATGTAAATTATTATGTCTCTCTCGAGTCTCCGGAATTGTCCCTCTCATCCTCTTTGTCGAAACTTCGATTCAAGGATACACTTGACAGGGAAATATACTACGATTTTATGATGGATCAAGTTGGACAGAGAGTCGTACGGAGAGAGGAGAAGAGAAAAGAAGTTTGTTACGCGATGAGGGAACGGGAGAGAGGAAGACAGGGAAGAAAGAGGGGGGAGGGGAGGACTGAGAGGAGGAATGTAGATTCCATCCACCGCGCCTAGGTTGAGATGGTCGCTCATAAATATTCATACGGGATTCCTGAAGCCAGGGAAACATCCATTCCTGCAGAAGCGCACGTGTGCCCGCCTCCCCCTTCGCCTCGGTGCATTCGGTAATTTTGTGGCCGGCCAATGGAAAAGTGCCGAGCAACGGCCAGGAAAAATGCTGGAATTACGACTTTTCCGTCGAGATCCTTCGCGAGGTCGTGCTTTGTGAAAACATGAATTTCCCAACGCGAATTTTTTAACACGTTTATGAGTCGTTCTCCCAACCTTCCACCGCGGTGTATGAAAATATAATTTTGCTGAAAATGAGAGGCATCCATTTAGGGTTACCATCTCTGAATCACAAGAAAAAAGTACAGAAGTACGTTCTTTCAAAAAAAGACGATGATCCGGGAGGGAGGGGATTATTTTTTTTACGTGCGTAAAATGTACATATTTAATAAAATTAAAAAAATTCTGGAACATAATTTTTATTGATATATTTATATTAATATCATTTTATGACTATTCTAAAATTATTTCATATTTATGAAAATGTTATATATTCATGTTATATGTCACGAAATATTCTTTTTGATATAAGCTAGTGTAGGAAATCACAGCAATTTGAGTCAATCCGGTGCTGCCATTGATCTAATTGCTGAATTTGCTTGATTGGTTGATTTCCACACTCAAAAAAAGATTTGATCAATTAAATGAATATCATTGTGGCCGCGGTCTATTTAACGCTATAAATGTTTCGAAGTATTTGATTAATTAATCAAGAGATAGAATTTTACAAATTGACCATCAAAAAATGCTTTAAAGCATCAAGTGGACCTCAGCT